TGTGTATTTTTACTTCACAAAAAATCTATTTATACCAACACAAAACAAGAAGAGGTGATGGGCGGCTCACTAGCCGACCTCCCCTTATTTTTAAATAATAATATTTTTGAATTAAAATAATACTACACACACACATACATACCATAAACATATATATATATATATATATAATATACACATATATATACACATATAAACCTGAAATAACAAGCAGAATATTACAATATTCCCTCCTTAAAAGAATTCCGTCCCGGAATTTCACTTAAGCAAAAAGGTAGGGATATTTCGTCCGCATTTCCGATTCTGATTCCCAGGTGGCTTCTGGTCCTTTATGATAACGCCACTGAACCTTTACTAATCCAATCTCTTTGTTTCGTAATTTCTTCATCTTATAGTCAGTAATCTGTTCAGGGGTTTYTTCAAAGCATAATCTCTCATCTACCTTAATTTCAGGTAATGGTACTGCCACATCTGGACTTATTAGACACTTCCTCAAATTTGACACATGAAACGTGTCATAAATTCCACTTAATTCCAAAGGAAATTCTAACTTATAGGCCACTTCTCCAATTCTCCCAATAATAGGRAATGGTCCAACATATCTTGGACTTAACTTCCCTCTCTTTCCAAAACGTACYATTCCTTTCCAAGGTGATACTTTCAACATTACTTTATCACCTATTTGAAATTCAATCGGCTTCCGACGTTTATCTGCATAACTTCTTTGTCTATCTTGTGCCGCTTTCATTCGTTCTCGTATTATCCCAATTTTATCTGCAGTTTGTTGTACTAACTCAGGTCCAGCTAACTGCTTTTCACCTATTTCATTCCAGCACAAAGGAGTTCGACATTTTCGTCCATACAACACTTCAAAAGGTGCTGCTTGAATATTGAGTGGTAGCTATTGTTGTATGCAAATTCAACCAAAGTCAAATGATTATCCCACGATCCTCCAAAATCAATAATACAGGATCTCAACATATCTTCTAAGGTTTGGATAGTTCGCTCACTCTGTCCATCGATCTGTGGATGATAAGCTGTAGTTAGCTTAATTTGTGAACCCATTTCTCTCTGAAAGCTCTTCCAAAACATAGAAGTGAAACGACTATCTCTATCAGAAATAATTGATAAAGGAACACCATGCCGTGTCACTATTTCATCAATGTATAACTTTGCCAATCTTTCCATCGAATATGACTCTTTCATWGGTAAGAAATGTGCAGATTTAGACAACCGATCTACTATCACCCATATTGCATCATACCCTTTTGTTGTTCTCGGTAATTTGGTTATGAAATCCATAGTAATATGATCCCACTTCCAAATCGGAATTTCTAAAGATTGTAACTTACCATAAGGACGCTGGTGTTCAATCTTTACTTGGAGACATGTCAGGCATTGTTCAACATGTTTAGCAATCTTTCTTCATACCTGGCCACCAATAATGTTGCTTCAAATCCCGATACATTTTATTTGTACCTGGATGTATTGCATAACGTGACTTATGAGCCTCATCCAAAATACG